CCCATTTGCCATCCCCTTTGCTTTCAGGTACATGTACAAACTGACCCATTTGCAATCCCCTTTGCTTTCAGGTACATGTACAAACTGACCCATTGGCAATTATTTTGCTCAGTATTTCCCTTGAGTCCATTTTTGCTTGGGGATGCTGGGATGTGCACTCCTTGTGTCTACCAAAGGAAGGGAGTGCTTCAGTATGTTCCAGCAGCCCTCTCAAAAACGTTGCAAATGCCCACAATGACCTCTATTCCATAATTTTTTTTCTAAAACTGCAAATGGTGTACATGTATTTTTTTAACTTTACAATCACTACAGATTTTCTCTTCAGAGTGAGTTCCCATACTTTAAATGCTTACAAGTGCGAAGACACAAAAGAGTGAAATTCGGCCAGTACCTCACTTTAAAGTATTGTTTCGTTGTTTTTTCCATCCTGTGTTTTAATTTGAACAATGCAATCTGCTCCTGAATCTGGTTCGGTGTCTTCATCCTGTGTGCCCTTGGCTTCCTGTGATCCTTGCCATGAGGATGACACCTCGCTACTGGACTTCCATGGCAACAGCTCGGTAGCAGTCAGAGGCACTGAATCATCAGTAGTGCTCTCCGTCTTGGACACGAGGGGTGGAGCTATGGGGAACTTCCGAGGGGTCGGAGGTGTCACTGGGACAAACTGATGGGGATTCATCTCAGCACGAACAGAGACCTCAGGGTCAGTTTCTGTCTTCCAAGGCAAGGTTTTCTCACAGGCTGCCTGGATAAGTTCCTCTGTTGATTCTACCCATTAAAAAAAAGCTTGAGTTGAATTTCATGCACGCGAAAATATAAACGACACGGGGGATGGGTTGAAGCAGATTCAAGCAATTAAGTCACCAAGCAATTAAGTCAAACGATGGGCCATGCAATACAACAATCTATACTACAAGCTGGCATGCTTTTCAACAAATCAGCTGGCATCAACAAATCAGCTTTGATGTGCCCCATACACCAGCTTCGATGGAAACCATGAAGATCAGAGGTGAACAATGATGAATCTGTGTATGGAATGGTGTACGACCGTTAAACCTTATGTGTGGTTTCAAGACATTCCTAGCAGCAAAACAGGAAGAAATGTTTTGCATATTGTGCAAACTACGTAGGTTTTTACTGATGACATTTTCACAAAATTATTGCCCTTTCACTGTAAATCTCAATGTCAAACACTCTCAAGAAGCCACGGCATGAACTTCACACTATGAGACATCTATGACAAAAACTTATATCTCTGAAATGTATGAGTGGGTTAGCCTTTCAGGATTAAGTTTGCAAATGCGAGCAGCAGTGCCTAGGTAACCACTTATTTAACAATTCCTACAAGTAAGAGGAACACTCATCAGAAAAACTCTAGAGTAGTTTTCTGTGAAAGACGTACGATACATTATTATTTCTTATTTATTTTCCTTGGGAATCAACACTCTTCATCATGCTAACATGCATTGAACAATGTTCTCAACTTAGTTTGAAGTGAATGAAAAATGAGTCACCAATGAACATGACGAAAGACAGCAAATGATGTTAAAGTGTGAAATAAGCAACTGTGTGATCACCAACAAGTTTGATTTCAAAATCCTCTTTGAAAAATGAATTAAAGGACAGGGTTTGAAGTGATCTCTGCAACAAAATCAATGCTCTATTGACAAAACATCACTATTTTTTCAATGTTTTGGTTTCTCAGGGTATATGCACAAAACTTCTCAGAGTGAAAAAACTTTACATTTGCAAATATCACTTAGTAGGTTTTATCTCCTCAAATTCACTGACTTCTCCAAATTATGAACAAGTAGTTTGATTCATAGGGTACATGGTATCAAGATCTAGTATACACCGAATGAAAGATCAAACCATGGGCTTCCAGCTTGATGTAAAAGTTCACTTTGTGAGTTTTGTGTCTTAGGCCACCTTCTCACCAGACTGAGTCAGAAAGTTGGAGTAGGAAAAAAAATCTCTATATAAAGACTGGATAGCAAACGGACAGCCACACAAGTAATCCACTTGAAGCCACTTTGGAAAGAATGGATGTGACTTGCCATATTTAAATTCATGCACGTACGTGTTGCCTGTGCTGCACTATGTATATACACTCATTAGATTACATGTGAGCACAGTAAATGTACTTTTGATTTAATTAGCATACATATGCTGTGCGTTTTAAGATTGTCACATCACAAAAGGCTTCGAATGTGTTCTATATGTGATCTGTTTCGCTGAAAAGGAATTTAAAAATGTTTCACAGATGAGCAGATTTCTATTTTGAAATGAAAATTTTTTGTTAACTTATTACCGAGAAAAACTGCCATAAGGGTTTGTTTGCGTGAAAAATACCACATGAAGTTGTACCAAATATTGGTGATCATCTTAGAAAGACCAGGAGCCAATTGGTCAAAATGTATGTTAAAGTTGCAGGGTTCGTGTATGGGCATCCACTATCAAGTCTTTATGTAGAGATCAGTGGTAGGAAGCAGTATCTCTATTTTAATTGGTCAAAACTCTTGCCCATGAAAGCATGGCGACAGGGTTGATGATTGAAGGGAAAATGATAGCAGGGATGCCACTTGTCAGAATTTCAGTTCATACCATACCTGGGATTACTTGTAATAATGCAACATCTGAATCCAAAAATGAGACAATCGGGATACATGAGGTTAGAATTCTAACAATGAGACGTGACACAAGAAAATGTTAGTCAAATTTGGTAGGAAAATCGTACCTTCTCTCTGCAATGGGTTACTTTTCAGGAATGCACATTTTGGGTGAAAATTACTTCACCCTTAACTAGTTAAAAATGTCTCAAATCTACCAGGACCCCAAACTGGGCAGCCAGCATCTGCCGGCATCTTTATACAAAATTGGCAGATCAAGTCCTATGTAAAACTAAGTGGCTTTAGCGCCACGATTGGGAATGAAACCATCTCCGACAGAGTTGTTGAGTCAGGTGTTAGCTTCTGGTAGGCTTATATGGCACAAACTACCTACCTTCCAAACTTGTCATCCAGTTACAACACAAGTCATTGCAAGTCATGTTAGGTCAATCACTTGTAAATCACGAAAGTCAAGTCCAGCCACATGTCTTGCAATCACTCTGTTACTTGTTCATAACTTTTCAATGACATGTCAGTGTGACTTGTGATTTCATTCATGATATTAATGGGCTAGAAACTCTGACATCTTAAACACTAAATGGGTGAGAGATAAAGAGATCATGTTTTTGAGTTCATGGTCCAACAGTTGTGAGCAACCTGCAGACTGTCAGCTGTCATAAAACAATGAAATGACACTGTATATGTAGATACTAAATTCTAATGACTACATGATGACCACAACACACATGCTCTAGATAACTTAGACGGTGTATGGTACAAGTGATGTTCATTAAGGAACATTCAAGCTTGTTTGCTAGCATCCTATGCTGAAAATTTGGCTTTGTGACTGTAAAGAATTCAGGCACAGTAAAGTTGTATCACTTCACAGTCACGACTTTCTCATCAGGTCACACAGAATGCCCTGGTGGTATTCTGATTTGCAGGAAGAAATTTTGTTACCGAATGACGTACTTTCAGCAATTATACATCAGATGGCTTTGGGGGCATAAACGAATATACTACATAAGCTGTGACAATATTGTAAGAGTCAAAGATGAGGGCAATACTATTGTGAGTGCAATATATTCTTCTTACGTCCCAAATTGTTTACATCAGCCTGATGTTTTAATCTAATTGGAGTTTGGATTACCATATTCATTTTTTTCTGGTTCACTGTCCAAATAAGTAGCCAAGTTTGTTCAAAGTTTAGAGATGGTTTACCACTACATGATATTAACATGCACTGTTCACTGGTTAATTAACTTTGGTGAGTTTCCATGTTCTTGATCAATAGGGTAGCCGTCTAAGACGACTTGTACTTGTACCGTGGCTTCAAAACATGCTGATGCATGTTTAGTACGTGGAAGCATGACATGCAAAAGGGTAAACAATTGCCTGTATCAATCAACCCAGTCCACTCTTATGTCAGAATTATGCATCGGTTTTAACTTTGTATTAAAAAGTCACACATTCAGTGAGAATTCCACATTCTATTTTGAAAGCCATTACTGGAGACAGAAGAGTGAAATGCAAGAGGTCCTGTGGGGATTTCAATGAAGATGGGAAAGAAGAAATTCACACAAATCACAGCAAACCCTGAGCTAGCTTCAAAAGAATCTAAAGAAAAAGTGAAATCACACAGAAAAAAAATCAACATCACCTATCTTTTAACACACAATCAGCAATCAATCTAGGCTAGGAACACAAATATTTCATGACAAATCTGTTCTTCTGCATTTCTGTCTACACACAGGGAAACACAATGCTGACAAAGTTTCATGAGAAGATGTGTTTGCTGTAAAATGCAACTGCATCTCTGATCGTGATATTTGAAACTGGAAAATTCAGTAGCTCAATGGGAAACATCTGCGCAACTATTACCTACAAGTAAGCCAGGGGTCCGGGGTTCAAATCCCCTATGTAGCCTGCAGCATTGTTTTCACATACATTGTACACTCGGAATCACCCACTGGGCAACACTCAAACCGGTAAGTTACTCACAAGTAATGATTTGAGTGATTTTTTTCATCAGAAAAAGAATCATCACATGATATTCCACATTGAGCAATAACTTTTTTTTAGTTCACTTCTTCATTAGACTGTTTTTCAGAGAGTAGTTGATTTTACATAAAATGCCTGTTTATCACCGTACATTCGTCATCCTCATCAGGAGCACATCTATGCAGAGCTGTGGGGCAAAAGAGGATCTCTGCAGGTGAATATCGTTTAGGGGTGTGAGTGGCCACTTAAAATTAAAGCTGAAAACAGCTGGCAAAATGCTGATACGTAAAGTCCCAATAATTTTGTACACACTCCGTTTACAAAGAAGCTGAAATTCAGGGCCAACATCTACACAAAAAAGCTGAAATCAGCTAAAAAGCTGAATCCTCACACCCCTGATCACTCCTAAGTATTCATTGGTGAAGTTACAGAATTAGCTGGGACTCAATCATCACTGTTGAAAGAAACTGTTATATGTTATATGGGTTGTATGTATGTGAGAGTCAAATGGTTAGCATTGCTGGGGTTACATCAGCAAATGAAACCATCTTTTCTTTTGTACACATATTGCCTTTTTGGGGGGCTCAAAATTCAGTACACTCCAAATTCATGAGGAGAGTGGAACTAGGGATTAGACTAGGCAAACTAAGAGGATTTGTAGGGCTGTTATTATGACATTCTTTGGTAGGTAAGGCATTGATTGAAACTTTACACTGTCAAGCAGATGCACAATTGGTTAACATCTGGATCATGAAGATAACAATGTGTTAACCACTTGCCACCGGGGTTGTCGGTACCGGCCACGTATTCTTTATATGCATGGCCAGGGTCTCCAAAATCAGACAATGGGAACTGGGCCTTGTAACAAAAGACCGTACTCGTAACAAAAGACCAGGCTGCTGGGCATTACCGGCATTTTTCACTCTCAATAGTGGAGACAGTCCAGCCTTGTTTTGAAACAGTATACCACTGTTTTGGGGATTTAGCGCGAGCGGATTACCACGGGGAACAAAAGCACTCCACCAGCACAGCGATGAGCCACTCAGTACTGTGCACGCTAATCTGGCCCCTACTGAAAAGCAGTCAGCAGCACACTGCGCCAGTTTCGTGAACAAAAGATAATTACGTAACACCGCACAATTTGGGTTCTTTTTTATAAGGCAGCAGGCCTGGCTGAAATACTTTGGCATCAATAGATGTTGTCTGTCAGATTAAAGTAGAAACCAGACAGTACTTCGTGTAAGTGTAAGTGTCCTGTAAATGAAGATATGAATTTGTACAGAATTTTGAAAACAGATAAAATGAAATTATCCCGTCCCAGTATCATCAACATAAATGCCCCCGGCATGATGTGGTTAAGAAAGATTAACATCACTTGCAGCTCTTGACATCTTTTCATCTGTTTCCTTTCTGAAATGATACCCAAAATGCCTTGACAACAAAATACTGGTAAGGAAAACTCTCATCATGAGAAGTAACACGGAGTTCAACATCCTACTCGCCTACACATCGCATATGTTCCACACTTGAGACCCAGATGTGTACTTGGCACCCCTTTTAAAAAGAATGTGAATTTGACTGAATACATGCTAGCATGGCACCACAGCAGTACTAGATGCTAATCGGTCCCACACATTTGTTTGATACACTCTCCAAAACTATGACCTGTCATCTTTGGTGTTCATGTTCAAACCGAGCTTAGTAAACTATTTGCAGCAGCGCTTTATTCGGGTTCCAGAGTCTTCAGTATGAGCAGAAAGATTCTTCGCTCCAACTTTCAGATCCCCTCAACCTTCCGTCCCTTTACTCCTTTATAATGCGGGTATAACCAGGCTTTCCTGCCCAGGCTCCCCCATATCTCACCCATCCCTCACTCACCCCCATCTCACCCTGCCCGACTTGTATGTCAAATGCAACTTCTTTCTGTATAAACCTATTTCTAAGGGCTCATTCCCATTTTATTTTGCTCCTGTCAACTGCTGAGCTATTCTAAGCATGCTTTCACCGCAAACGGGGCTCATTCCCCTTTTACCCTGCCCCAGTCTGTCATTAGCAAAGCCACTCTTTGACTTCTTTGATACAGCCAAGGCACAAATGCTTGCATTGCTCACATTGTGTGTATGCGCCCTGAACGGCACTAGGGCCTTAACCAGCAAAATGGCTTTTACCAAAGCCTGACTAAGATTGACCCCCCAAAAGAAATTTATCGGCATGACGCTCAGATGTTCTTGCTTCCCCTTATTAAATTTTGCCTTTTTTTTTCCTTATCATGAACCTTCAAAGTAATGAAGTCACAGATTTGGAAGACAAGCCAATATTTAAAGGCCATTTCCAGTTTTGGTGGGCTTTTTTCTGACTTTTCTATGCTTGAGTCTTTCATTTGGCAAGTCCATCTTTGCTTTGCTTTATAACAGCCAAGGGGCTTATTCCCCTTTCAACCAGTACCTTCAAAGTAATGGAGTCAGAGATTTGGAAGAGAAGCCAACATTTTAGACGGCATTTCCCAGTTTTGCTGGGATTTCCCGAAGACTTTTCCCTGCTCCAGCCTTTCCTTTGGCGAGGTCATCTTTGCTGTATTATAGTCAAGGGGCTTATTCCCCNCTAACACCGCATAATTTGGGCTCTTTTTACAAGGTAGCAGGCCTGGCTGAAATACTCCGGCGTCAGTAAATGTTGTCTGTCAGATTAGAGTAGAAACCAGACAGTCCTTTGTGTTGGTGCAAGTGTCCAGTAAATGAAGATATGAATCTTTAAAGAATTTTGAAAACAGAAAAAAATGAAATTATCCCGTCCCAGCATCATCAACATTGATAAATGCCCCCGGCGCGATTTGGTTAAGAAAGATTAACATCACTTGCAGCTTATGACATCTTTTCATCTGTTTTCGTTCTGAAATGATACCCAAAATGCCTTGACAACAAAATACTGGTAAGGAAAACTCTCATCATGAGAAGTAACACGGAGTTCAACATCCTACTCGCCTACACATCGCATATGTTCCACACTTGAGACCCACATGTGCACTTGGCATCCCTTTTAAAAAGAATGTGAATTTGACTGAATGCATGCATGGCACCACAGCAGTACTAGATGCTAATCGGTCCCACACATTTGTTTGATACACTCTCCAAAACTATGACCTGTCATCTTTGGTGTTCATGTTCAAACCGAGCTTAGTAAACTATTTGCAGCGGCGCTTTATTCGGGCTCCAGAGTCTTCAGTATGAGCAGAAAGATTCTTCGCTCCAACTTTCAGATCCCCTCAACCTGCTGTCCCTTTACTCCTTTATAATGCGGGCATAACCAGGCTTTCCTGCCCAGGCTCCCCCATATCTCACCCATCCCTCACTCACCCCCGTCTCACCCTGCCCGACTTGTATGTCAAATGCAACTTCTTCCTGCATAAACCTATTTCTAAGGGCTCATTCCCATTTTATTTTGCTCCTGTCAACTGCTGAGCTATTCTAAGCATGCTTTCACCGCAAACGGGGCTCATTCCCCTTTTCCCTTGCTCCTGTCCATCATTAGGCAAGCCACTCTTTGCCTTCTTTGATACAGCCAAGGCACAAATGCTTGAACTGCTAACACAGTTTGTGTGTATGCACCCTGAATGGCACCAAGGCCAGTAACCAGCAAAATGGCTTTTACCAAGGCCTGACTAAGATTGACCCCAAAAATAATTTATCGGCATGACGCTCAAATGTTGTTGCTTCCCCTTATTAAATTTTGCCTTTTTTTCCCCTTATCATGAACCTTCAAAGTAATGGAGTCACAGATTTGGAAGAGAAGCCAACATTTAAAGGCCATTTCCAGTTTTGGTGGGCTTTTTTCTGACTTTTCTATGCTTCAGTCTTTCATTTGACAAGTCCATCTTTGCTTTGCCTTATAACAGCCAAGGGGCTTATTCCCCTTTCAACCAGTACCTTCAAAGTAATGGAGTCAGAGATTTGGAAGAGAAGCCAACATTTTAGACGGCATTTCCCAGTTTTGCTGGGATTTCCCGAAGACTTTTCCCTGCTCCAGCCTTTCCTTTGGCGAGGTCATCTTTGCTGTATTATAGTCAAGGGGCTTATTCCTC